AAAAATGTCACTTCAGTAGCAGCAGCCACCACAGCATAAGGATCTGCATTGTGTGGCTGAAGGTAAGCTGTGGCGGCCATTTTGTGGCAGTCCCCGCCTCCTACAGCAGCCATTTTGCAACAGCCATTTTGTAGTCACGCCCATTATGCTGTGTCAGAATCCCAAAGGTGCCCAGCCACGGCACAGGCTCAAAAAGGCTGGGGACCCCTGGTCTCGGTGGACATGGGTTCAAACTGCAAGCACGGCCACAAACTCACACAGTGGCTTTTAAAATGACTCCCGACTCACGCGTTCATAAAAACTGCCGACGGCATTGCCAATCAAGCACCTCTTCAGATGTGAGATACTGCAGTTCCATCAATGAATTTAAACTCGTACACTTTTCTTTAATCTTCTGTGAGCCCTCCAAATGTCTCCGTGGGCCACTGTCTCATCTTGATTTTGAAACTGCTAGCCTAAATCTCGAGCGTCTACCCTTCTTCTCCGAAAAGTGTTGGGAGAAGGGGATTAAAAAAAAAAAAAAAATCCCGTCCTAGAACAAAAAACCCCAAGCCAATTCCTTTCACATCTCGGATTTTATTTCATTTAGAATTAATAAACCAACACTCTGTCTCTGTCTGACATTTCCAGGACAGACAAAAAAAAAGGTTTTCATTAGGACGAGAGATATAGATAGATCGATTACGGCCTCCCAACTGTACACCCCTCCCTCCCAAAAAAGGCTGGGGGGGGGATCTTTAACGGAATTCAAAGGAGCTCGTTAAGAACAAAGAATGCACAAATGCAGATTAGCTTTACACACAGGCAATCCGCTGCCAAAGCTTTGATGGAGAGATTGACACATGAACGCCCCCCCATACACAAAATATATTCCCCCCAATCTGCCTCCCCCCTCCCCACAAACTCTCCCCACAACAGATATGTCAGAATAATACACTTAAAGAGAAAAGCTTGTGTAAAAAGTCATCCAAAGCAAAAACAGAAGCATCTCTCAACTCTTCTTTACAGCCAAGTATTCCTCCAGGAACGACATCTGCGTGAGAGGAAGATCTCCTTGGTTTGATTTTTTTAAAAACACACCTCCACTTAACTAACAGGAACAACAACAACAACAAAAAAGTTATCAGAGACAAAAAGAGAAAAAGTTAATAAGTTAAACCTATGTACAGAGGAAACGGCATGAGGCAGAATGTACAAAGCAATCAGGGCTGACGGGGGTAGGTGTCCTGCCAGCTGAGGAGCGCCATTCGAACACAGCGCTGGCTGTGTACCGGCCCGACCCAAGAATGGGAAAACCCACCAGTGCAACAATTAAAGAGGAACAGACGAGGGAAAGGTAACACACGCTCAAGTGCTACGATCGCAAGAGATGCCCCCCCCCCTCCCGGAGTTGCACACCCCACCTTAATTGTCAAATGAATGTGCTCCTTTCCCTTCACTCTTGACACGCACTCTGCCACAATGATCTGCCTTCAGTGTTCCCTCTAAGCTGAGTTAGTGTGAGCTGGCTCACAGCTGTTTAGCCTCCGGCTCATGCATTTTTTGTCTCAGCTCAGGAAGGAGGGCTCCAGAGCAAACTGCTTGATGTGGCAGCCAAATCGCTTGCTCACCACTTTAATACCAGGAGCTCACAAAGTAGATTTTTTGCTCACAAGACTCCACGGCTTAGAGGGAGCGTTGTCTGCCTTAACAAATTCCAGTAGGATTCCCCCCCCCCCCAAGGAAGAGGGATTCCTTAACCAGAATTAGATCATGGTTAATGGCATCCCGGCAGAGGGAAGGGAACCACCCCAAGGGCTTGTTAAGGGGCCTGCATTCAGACCTAAAAGCAAATGGGGGTCGGCTGAAGGGGCCTGCATTCAGACCTAAAAGCAAATGGGGGTCGGCTGAAGATGTCCAGTTTTCATTGTCTGCATTGTGCACAAGGGGAGGGAGGGAGGGAAGTCCTTAGGTGGGCCAGGAGCCAGGACTCTGCCCCTTATAAACAAATTCCGGTTTGGTACCTCTGAACGCAGCAGAAATGTTTGCATCGGGGGACGAGGAGTTAGCTGTTTACATGAGCCCATAGGGGGTGGGGGTGGGTGGTCAACTGACATAAATTAGGGCAGGGTGCGTCTGTATGGGGGCGGGGAGACAGGAATACTCTTTACGTTTTCCATGCTTCAGTCCCATTGGGGGGGAAACGCAATGGAATCTCTATCCTTCTGCGTCTGAATCCTGTCCTCAGTATTTCCCAACGATGCTGAACGCCAGAGGCAATGGAGCGTAGAGGTTAGGGTTGCCAGGTGAGGCCAACACGCAGGCAGGGGACTTATCAGGAGGTTCCGGGAGAGGGGAGGAGGCTCCGGGAGGGGGAAGTCTGAAGCAAGTTCCGGGTGAGCTGCCGTTGCATTTAAAGGGATCACGTTCCTTTTAAATGCATTCCCTCCACTGGAAATAAAGGAAGATGGGGGCACATTAATTGGGGGCTCACAGAATTGGACTCCTTGATCCAATCTTTTTGAAATTGGGGGGGGGGGGGAGGAGAGGCACCAGCAACTATGCTGAAAATTTGGTGCCTCTAACTCAAAAAAAACAGCCTCCCCAGAGCCCCAGAGAACGATTCTCCATTATAACATATGGGGACCAGTCACCATAGAGTATAACGGAGTGCCCAGCAGCTCTTCCCCTCCCTCGCTTTCTGATAGCCCTGAAGCAGGGGGGGAGGGGCTCCAAACCTGGAGGTCCCCTGCCCCCAGCTGGGGATTGGCAACCCTAGCAGAGTCTCAGGTGTCAAAGTCGGGGCTGTTTCCCACGAGCGGCAGAATGGGATGGCAAAGATCCGAAAGGGCGGAAGAGGCTCCGTCCCCACCTGACCGCTGAGGGTCGATTCCAACTCTGAACGTTTAAGAACTCCCCACAGACAGAAAATCAGCACGGCAGGGAGAAAATTCTCTCCTTGCTTGCAGTGCTGTTCTGTTTTCTTGGCGAGATTTTAATGTGTGTGTGGGCCCTTAAAAAGAGCTGTCCTCCGAAGGGCCATGGGTTTGTTTTGCGGCCTCATCTTTGCTGCACGGGCAACGCAGGCCTTCGACTTGGTCCCGAGTTCGGGTCCCTGCACCGGAAACATCACAGCCTAACCCCGGGTCATGGGGAGGTTTGGGCCACAGCGCTTTGACGCTGCTGGGTCACACTTCCCACATTAGGGGGGGGGGGAGAGAAAACAGGAATGCACTCGTCTGCAGTGAAAGAGGCATCCAATGGGCCCAAGCCTAGCCATTCAACCAGGATGGCAAACTGGTTTATTAAAGTCCTGTCGTGTGGGTGTGTCTGAAGTACCAGGCTCTCACTCAACGAAACCCGGCAACCTGGGAGAGGCAGGGTGGGGTGGGGGGTGACCCCACCCAAGTCCTGACCTGGAAGGGATACTCTCCAGCCGAAAGATCCTGCAGTTTTAACAGCCAAACCTGCAGGCTTTCAATCACTGCTCTGTACTGGGTAAAGTCAGAAGACGCAGGTTCTGGATTTTAAACCACGCCCAGCCAATTCAAAAAGCTCCACACTGTTGGCCAGTCACAGGGCTGACAGTGAACGCCTTGATTCCCGTCTGGGGCAGTCACGCAGTCGGCCCCACTCCGGGCCTGAACTTTCCAGTTCGAACCCCGGAAACCCCCAAGAGATGTGCGATTTGGTCAGGACTCTAGAACGCCACGAGGCGTAAGAGCTTACGAAAGCCAAACCGAACCCGCCAGTCCCCCTCTTCCATTTCAACGGCCAAAGCTGCCTCCGTGCCGACTGCTGCGTGTTTAATCAAGACGATCGGTGGATCTCGAAGATCTCAGGGCCAAGAAAGGGCCAGTGCCCGCAGTGCCCGAGATCCTCTTAACTGCAGATGCCGAGAACGGAATTCACGTCCAAAGCAGGCACTCTACCACTGAGCTAGGGGTCTGTCCCTAAACGTTTGAAGCGGCCTTATACAGAGTCAGACCCATAGTCCACCAAAGTTATTTATTTATTTAGCACTGTCTCCTCTAGCTGCCACTGGCTCTTCTGGGGTTTTGGGCACTGTTCCCTCTAAGCTGAGTTAGTGTGAGCTAGCTCAAAGGCTTTTTAGCCTCCAGCTCACACATCTTTGTCTCAGGAAGGATGGCTCCAGAGCAAACCGATCCATGCAGCAGCCAAATCGCTCGCTCACAGCTTTAACGCCAGGAGCTCACAAAGTAGAATTTTTGCTCACAGGACTCCGCAGCTTAGAGGGACCACTGGGCACAGCAAAATCTTCCCCCATCACCTGAGATTCTTTAGCTGAGGACTCAAGTGGGGGCCTTCACAAGCCGGGCATGCGCTCAGCCCCTGAGACCCTCCCATAAGGGACATCTTACGGTCCATCCCACAACTTAGATGTCTGAAGCAGCCCTTGTAACGGGGCAGATGGTCGTCCCATCTAACCCACTGCCCTCTGTCCTGATTGGCAGCGGCTCTCCAAGGACTCGGGCAGAGACACACCCTTCCCAACAACTTAAGGGCCCGACAACTGGAGAAGGAACCCCAGATCTCGTGCATGCGAAGCATGGGCTTCCTCCAGAGGGGACCCCCAGACGCGGGCAACCGAAAAAGGGACACGGGTTTCCCCCTCCCTGGAAAAAAGCCAAAATCCCTGCAGTCCATCTCCAGAACGGTACGTCGGGGACGGCCACAGGTAGCTCACGCCGAATGCAAATTTGTGACTTTAATTCTGAAAGAAAATGCCTTGCGACCCCGGACTCCCCACCCCCCAAAAGCTTGAGATGTCATTGCTGGTGAGGACGGGGGCTTTTGTGAGCGGCTTCCAAAAACGGACGCTCTTGCATCTCTACCTGGGCGAAAGAGCAGGTGATGGGGGGGG